AATGGCAAGGTCCTTCCTTTGGGAAAACATGGCAGAGGATAATGAAGGGAAACACACGCACATATGTGTGCCCACACACAGACACACAAGGCCCCCTCGCACTGCTGAGTGTACACAAACTTCACTTGTTTTCAGTCACCTACACCACTCGAGTTTATAGGGGAGAACCCAGCCATGAACAGCAGCACCTCCTTTGGCTTGTCAGAATGGCTCACCCATTAAAATGTCCATTTTCATGTAATAAAAAGCCAGCAGGAACCGTTACACTACTAGGGATAAAAGAAATCCTTGGCTGTCTTAAGAAAAGTACTATGGTGGCTCCCAGTGTTTGCCTTTGTATATTAACAGCATAAACGCAGAAAACGCCTAAAAAGAGATAGCTCCTACCTTGTCGGACTCACTGATGCAGTGGAGGTCGGCAGAAAACCCATGTGCGACTGCCTGCTCACTTATCTCTTCTGCTATGGCCTTTGCTTGTCCTTGCTGTGTAGCATACAGTAACAGAAACCTCCTCATCCCTCCAAGGCACATACTGTTGCTGTGACAGTTGCACTGAAAAATACAAAAATGGGAAAAGGGAGCCTTTCTTTTTTTTCAATTTTTGTTGTGATCTGGGTGAAAGTTTACAGGCCAAATTCATTTTCCATACAGTTCATACACATTGACATTGACTGCAGTTTCCCACAATGCAACAGCTCTCTTCCCACTTCCTCCCTATACTTACCGCTTCCCTATGTCCTTCCCTCCCATGCTCTCCTGCCCCCCCCCAGCTGTCTTCCTGTGCACACACAGCCCTTCTATTCTCCCATGACTGAACGATCTCTCCAAGGAGTGTATCTACCTGATGTAAATGTTCAGATCATATGCCTGTCTTTTGTTTGGCTGGAAGCCACAGTAGTGAGTTCAATTCCAGACCTGAAGGGCAGGTAGGGGCCATAGTCTCAGGGGTTTCACCAAGCTCTATCAGATGAGCAAACGTTATCCTTTTTCTTTTTCCCCAATGATTTTGTGTTTTGTTCCACATTGCTCTCCCAGTCTATGCAGGATCTCCTACATAGATGCCCCTCCGAGTGGTTGATAGTGGTAGCCAGGCACCATCTAGCTCTTCTGGTCTCATAGTTGTATAGGCTGATGATCGCATGGTGTACTAGTCCACTGGACTAATTGTTTCCGTGAGTCTTTGGTTTTCTTCATTTTTCTTTGCTCTGGATGAGGAGAGACCCATCATTGCATCTAGATGGTCACTTGCGAGCCTTTAAGATCCCAGTCACTACTTGCCAAAGTAGGATGTGGAATAATGTTTCTGTGTAGTATGTTATGCTAATTGAGCTTGATGGGAGAGCTGCTTTTTAATGCAGTAACAAAAGCAAACTCACTACCATCAAGTTGAACCCAACTCATAGCAACACCTCCTTGGGTTTCCATGGAGGTATCACTATGGAAGTAGATCCCCCAACAGACTGCAGGTATTAAATCCCCCATAATCTTTAATACTAAAGGGTTCTATGGGCAAAATAGTGAACAACACAGGATGCATCAAAAGAAGATGGAAGGAATACAGAGTAATTGTACCAAAAGAACTGATTGACCTGTAACCATTTTAGGACGGAGCATACAATCAAGAATCAATGGTACTGAAGAAGAAGTCCAAGTTGTATTGCAGGCATTGGCAAAAAAAGAAGGCTCCAGGAATTGATGGAGTAGCAATTTAGACGTTTCAACAAACAGAGGCAAAGTTGAAGTCCTTGCTCATCTATGCCAAGAAATTTGAAAGACAGCTACCTGGATAACCAACTGGAAGAAATCCATATTTATGCCCATTCCAAAAAAAATGTGATCCCATGGAATGCAGAAATTGTCCAACAGTATCATTAATACCACATGCAAGTAATTTGGCTGAAATAATTCAAAAACAGGTGTAGCAGTACACTGACAAGGAACTGCCAGAAATTCAAGGTGGATTCAGAAGAGGACCAAAAACCCCACTGCCAACGAGTCAATTCTGAATCATAACAACCCTACAGGACAGAATACAACTGTCCCATAGGGTTTCCAAGGGTGTAAATCTTTACCAAAGCAGAATACCTCATCTTCTAGCTGCAGAGCAATTCCCTCACAGAAAGGTCAAAGTTGGACAATGAATAAGGAAGACCAAAGAATTGATGCCTTTGAATTATGGTGTTGGTAAAGAGTACTGAAAATGCCATGGACTGCCAGAAAAATGAACAAATCTGTCTTGGAAGGAATTCTATCCTTAGAAGTGAGGATGATGACACTTTGTCTCAAGCACTTTGGACATGTTATCAAGAGGAACCAGTTCCTGAAGCAGGACATCATGTTTAGCAAAGGAAAAGGTCAGTGAAAAAGGAAGATCCGCAACGAGATGGACTGACACAGTGGCTGCAACAAAGAGCTCAAGCATAGCAATGACTGTGAGGATGGCATGGGACCAGGCAGTGTTTCATTCTGTTGCACACAGGGTCGCTATGAGTTAGAACCCACTCAATGGCACCTAACAGCAACGATCTTTAACAAGAGGTCCAGGTGGCAGAAGCCCTATAGGATGTAGCAGTTAAAGCACATAGATGCTATCCACCTAGTAGCTTCACAGGAGAACAGATTTTGTTTCCATAAAGATTCAGCCTAGGAAACCCTTGGGGCAGCACTACTCAGTTACACATGGT